AGCTGCCCAGCTGCAGCCCACGTGTCTGCTAGCGGGCACGCGCGAGCAAGCTCTGCCCGTGCTCCGAGACAGCCAAACGCACGCCAGCCCGACCCGGCAGGCACGCCTACACCTGAGCAGAGCTTGCATGTGCTTCCTTGCGAGAGGACACCGTTGTGCACGGGACGCTCAGGGCAGCAACCTGGTACCCCGGAAAGCCAGAGCCAAGCCAGCGCGGTTCACAGAGAGGAGGCAGGGCGGGCGCGTTACCTTCTGCTGCAGGGCTCTCTCCAGGGACTCCACCTTCATCTGCTCCTTGCGCAGCCCGGCGTGCAGTGCTGCGCTCTCCGCTTTGGCCTTCGTGCGCACCTGGGCGATCTCCTCGTTGGCTCTGTAGTGGCGTTTGGAAAGAAGGGGATGCTGGTTACATCTTTGGGTGCAGGTAGGAGCACCGCGGCACAACGTTAGACCACGCGGCGTTGGCAGAGCCTGGCTCCTGCTTGCCTGGATGCGCCAGAGGTGGTTTTCCCACATGGAAAACCTGAATGAAATGGGATTAATTCAGCTCCTCCAAACTCCGGCGTGGAAACTCTCCTTCCTCAGAGTGAAGCTAAGCCAATTCCTCACCCACTTCACTTGGGGCTACCATGTGTTGTGAGCTACTGCTCATCAGCTGAGCCTCGGTAGCTGCGCAACCCCTTCACAAACCGCAAACATGAGCCCTCTGAAATGTGGGAACTTATTAAATGACTGTAAATAGACCGTGAACTTCAGTTTCTCCATTAAAAAAAACTGAAGCAGAGATCAGAGAATCCATTCAGGGATTTGTGCTGGCTTACTTACAGCCATTTTAAGTCACTTGAGCCTGAGGTTGTAAAAAAGGCAGCTTTTCACATCAATAAGCTCCTGCCTTCCGCCCTCAGGAAAGGCAAATGGAGACGCTGCCCTACAAGGTCTTTAAGCACCCAGAAAGCTCAGCACGCCCAGCAATCTCGTGCATGACCTTACTTGTCTAATTTTTCTTCTGCATGGACTTTCAGGGCCTGATACCGCTGCTCTTCTTGCTTGACCCGGGCTAAATAATCTTGAGCACACTTCTTCAGAGCTTCTTCATTCTGGAAAAAAGAAGTACATCCAGCTGCATTGGGACTGAGCACAGAGATGTTGCTCTGATGGTATCCTGTTCCGAGTATAAAAAAAAAAGGCTTTAAATAGAATCAGCTTCTCCCTTATGCTGGAGCCCCTTATCCAGCTCGGCAGCATGGAAAAACCAGCGTGGCGATGGAGACGGGCTTTCTCGGGGCACGCTGCCCTGGCACCTGCTCTTGCCCTGGCTGGAGCCACCTCTCCCCAGGGCATGATGCCCCGCGGCCGGCAGCTCGGCAGGAGAGCGCCGAGGAGGAGTGCGGAGAAGAGCCGGAGAACCGGGCTCCCCACAACAGCTTCCCCGGGCATTTGAAATACATTTTGCTTGTTTATCAGAAAGCGGGCAGAGGAAAGCAAGCGAGCAGTCCTCTGAGCAAGGGCCGGGGCATTTGAAGCAGCACTGCGCGGGGCAGGAGAGCCACGGTGCTGCAGCACAGGACAAAGTGGGGACAATGCTGCACGGGGCAAGGTGAGGGCAATGCTGCACGGGAACTCCGTGCCCAGGGACCAGGGCTGCAGAGAGAAAGAGGAAACCAAGGTAAGGACCTTCTTAAAGCCTTCTAGGACGCCCTTCAGGTTTTCGTATCTCCGGAAGAGATCCGACAGGGACCTCTCCACTGAGTTTAGGTCTGCCAGAGCCTGGTCCTTTTCCATCGTGAGCTGCTGCAGGTTCTTCTGAGACGTCATGTTTGTCCTCTGCTCATCCTCTGTGACGAAGAATAAACAGCGGGGACACAGTGACCGAGCAGGGATGGCTGCAGCAGCCAGCTCCCTTCCCCACGTGCCCGGCCAGGCGACAGCACCTTACCTATCATCTGGGCGATGGTCTTCTCGTACTCAGCCACAATTTTCCTAGAAGGAAGGAAGAAAAAAAAGCAGGTAAGAGGCAGCAGTTTTTTGCAGACACACAGCCACAGCTCTGCTGCCAGCGACCTGCCCCTTCCCCACGCCACAAAGGCGGGCACACCACAC